CCTTCTAATATGTGTAAGGTTGCTGTTTTCCTTCTAATATGTGTAAGGTTGCTGTTTTCCTTCTAATATGTGTAAGGTTGCTGTTTTCCTTCTAATATGTGTGAGGTTGCTGTTATTCTTCTGATGAGTGTGAGGCTGCTGTTTTCCTTCTAATGATAGTGTGAGGTTGCTGTTATTCTTCTAATGAGTGTAAGGTTGCTGTCTTTCCAATGAGTTTAGGCTTGTTGTTTTCTTGAGTGTAAGGTTGCTGTTTTTTCTAATGAGTGTGAGGTTGCTGCTATTCTTCTGTTAAGTGTAAGGTTGCTGTTTTTCCAATGAGTTTAGGCTTGTTGTTTTCTTGAGTGTAAGGTTGCTGTTTTTTTTTCTGATGAGTGTGAGGTTGCTGCTATTCTTCTGATAAGTGTAAGGTTGCTGTTTTTCCAATTAGTTTAGGCTTGTTGTTTTTATGAGTGTAAGATTGCTGTTTCTCTTCTGATGCATTAAGGGTTTATGTTTCTCTTTGGATGGGTGTAGGTTTGCAATTCTTTTTCTGGTGAGTTTAAGTCTGCTTTTCCTTCTTCTGACAAGTGTAGGTTAACTATTTTATTGATGAATGTAAGGTTGCTGGTTTTCTTCGTATGAGTGTAAGGTTGCTTTTCTGTTTCAAAACTGTAGATCCAAGAGCCCCCTGTGACAGCTGCTGGTCTTTTTAAACTATTCTTTAATAATAGCAGTACACTATAGCAATTTCAGTTGAAATGAGACCATTTTTAATTGCCATTTCTTGACCCAATACATTTGTCGATATAGTGCAAACAAGTTTTAAATAAATCCTGATAAGATAAATAACTCTCAAATGTTTTAAACTGTAATTTGAATTCAGGTCTTTGAACAAGAAAGTATTGTCAGATGAACAATCAGTGGATGATTTTCTCATCTCTGTACTCACCAGCTAATTCTGATTGGATTTGTAGAAAAAAAGTTAGTCATTACCAAGAGAAAGCTGTTTAAATGAAATCATTTTGTGATAGACACACATAAAAATGGCAGGTAAAAATCAGTTTGTAAATCTGTTGTTGTATCAGCTAATGTTGCATAATCCACACTAGAAGGAACTGGTGTTTTTCTTTAACAGATCTTAGTTTTGGTTTCATGCATCAGCTGTAGAGTAGTTGCTTGCAGAAACTGATTTTTATAAAAACCATTGTGGTGTTATTTGCAGGGAAATAAATTATAATATTGAAAGACTATAGAGTGCAACTTTGAATAAAGTGTACTAAAAGAAGTTTTAGATTTTTCAATTATAATACCTACTGTATGAATTAAGATTGTTTTGATTATTTCTAAACAACCTTATGGAATGGAAAACAGATGTTATGTATTATTACTGATCATTTTCATATGATCAGTTTCTTTTTTTTGTTTGTGTTATGCATTTTTGATGATAGCAGAAGATTTCTTCAGTTATTATAAAGGTAACTTTTATAGCTACAATAATATCATCTTGATCTTTAGTAGTTGTAATTTCCTCCTAGCATAAGAAAATTAAACTTACAATGATAATTTTTCTCTAAGAAAAAACGAAAGCAGGAGCAGCTGCTGGTACATCTACAGATGCTGTTACATGATGCTGGAGAGGATCCTCAACCGACATGTGAAGTCTTGGACTATTTCATGAGGAGACTCAGCTCACAGCAAGCTTCAGCAAGAAAGCTTGCAGCAAAGGTTTAAAAACTAGAAAATAAGCTTAGAGTAGACCATCCTGTCTAGACTACTGGGAGATTGAAATATATGATTTTGAATAAAACTGAGTAATATTGTCTGTATTATGAATCTTGGTGATAGAATTGAATAACATATTCCTTCTTTTGATTTATGATGAACTTTGATAAAAGTGAGTAACATAGTCCTTATTCTGTGTTTTGATGAGGTTTGATAAAACTGAGTAAAATAGTCCTTATTCTGTGTCTTGTTGAGGTTTGATAAAATTGAGTAATACAGTCCTTATTTTAATTCTTGAAGAACTTTGATAAAGGTGAGTAGCATAGTCCTTATTCTGTGTCTTGATGAGGTTTGATAAAACTGAGTAAAATAGTCCTTATTCTGTGTCTTGTTGAGGTTTGATAAAATTGAGTAATACAGTC